TATTACAGAGCAGCAATCAATTTGTAGGGATTTGATTTTTTCGCAGTTCCCTTTCTGTAACTCGGGCCCAGCTGGTTCCTGCTCTTGCCCAGGTACTCCTAAGTCCAGAAAGGAGAATGCAGAGAGAGGAGTGGGAGCAGCCAGAAGTGAGCATCATTTGCAGCCACAGTGTCAGACAAACTGCAGGGAGCAGAGCAGAGGAATGAACACTTCCTGGCTGAAACGAAATATTGAAAGTTCAGCCCACTGTCTTTATGGGGTATTTCCCAGCTTGATTCATGCTCTGATCTCAGGAGGCTGTAGTCACACATCTCCTCTTGCTGTGGCTGAACCAGCAGCAGACATGAGTGCAGCCTGCCTAAATACTTGCTGCTGCGCTCCTGCCAGAGATCACTGCCCATCTTTTACTGTCCTCAGGGCTACACCTAGACATTGCTCCTTTATTTTGAACAATTGTTTTAGTCTAAGCTCCTTTATTAGCCTCAAAAGAGTTTAAGAAACTCTGACGACTTTGACCAAGCCGGGTGAGTGGGTTGTGCTGGCAGTGGGGAGGTAGCGAAGGTGTGAAGTGGCTGGGGCTGTAGAGGAGTCAAACTCTGCCTGGCTTTGCTGCAGCTGGAGCAGGATGCGTGACTGCAACCCTGGGCAATGTGCAAAATATCCTTTACCAGAAGCCACTTGCGGGCCGAAGTTTTTTCTCAGCTAAGCAGTAAGCTCTACTGATCTCACACAGGAGGCACGTGGAGCAAGGAAAGAGGAGAGCAACTAGCCTACCTTTGGTTGGTTTGCCTAAACACAGGTAAAAAACCTGAAGTTATGAAAGCTCAGTCTGCAAATATTGGCCTGTGGTTTTAGTAGCTCTGTCTGAAATACCTCAATACTGCTCAATAACCTTTCACCTGGCTTTACTTAACCTCTTCCTTCCTTTTGCCACATTTCTGGGGGCTCTAAGGAGGCTGCAGCAATTATTTCTCCCTTACTATATAAATATAATTTCATACACTCTTCCTAAAACTGCACCGTGAGTGACTGCTTCCGTGATGTGGCTTTTCAATTCTTCTGAGCATCTTCAAAAGCAGCAAGTGCTCTGCACAGCATACATCCAATTGTGTTATGCAAAGCAATTGGGCTCGGTCAGTCATGACAGTCCAAATGAGCTGAAAATGCTGTTTACCAGGGCAATGTACCTGAGAGAAAAGGGGTGTTGCTACTTTTGTTGCGCACTTTGCATTATATAGCTGATTAAAAATGAAGGCTATAAGCAGAGTGCTTGGTCATGCTGCTGCCTGACAATTTATTGTCCGGGAACCTTAGTACAGAATTGCTTAAAAAAGAAAAAGTGCCACTTGCACTGGTCTATCCAGGATTTTGCAATATTTAGCGAGACAGAAAAGGGCTGGATTTCTTTTGCAAGGTTTGCTGTCTTCCTTCTGTAGTTTTCTTCATGAGCTGCCACATGGTGCTGGGGCTCACCTGCCAGCCACGCACACCTGAGGCTTTGAAAACTGCCACGAGCATTCAGAGCAGCTGCAGCCTGCTGCACAGGTGGGAGGTTCATGGAAATGTGCATAGAGAAGGTCTTTCTCATAATAATGGCTTTGAAAGGGAGTTATGGCCAGTTAAAGTTGTCTGACAAAAGACAGTACTCTTCAGTTGAGTACTCCGTTTCTTTGAACTCTAGTTCCTATGTTGGTTAAAAAAAAAAAGGGGAAAGAAAAAAAAGCAGCAGAAGCTTAGTACAAAGAACTATCTTTCTGCAGAGAAGAAAAATCATGTGATGTCTTCTAGTGCTTCAGGACCTTTAGCACTAAAATACCCTGGTCTTGGTTCCTTGTGTAAAAGTCTTACTTTGCGATGCCATAGGTCTAGCTCTTGAAACACATACAAATACCTTGTTTCTGCCATAGAGCTTTTTTTTTTTTTGGCACAGGCAGGTTTCATGGCAGCTCTGAAACTGCCATGAAATTGCAGCTTATCCAAGTACTAGGCAGCAAGTAAAAAAAAAAAACCTCTTGAGTTTTACTTGTCCTTATTTGCTACTGCTGGTATTTTATTGTAGTGCCTTTGTAAATGATGTTGCATTCATGCTTAATGAAAATACATTTCTGTTATAGTATCTGTATTGTAAATATCAAGAATAAAATGAATTATTTGGTTATCAGAATGAAATTCACCATGCTTATTTACTCTTATGATTAGGATAGATGGGTTTGTTTATCGGATAATTTTATCAATTGCCCTTTGAGAATTTCCTCAGAACCTGCAGTGCAATCCCTATGGATTGCCTGTCTAAACTGCAATAACTTACCACTTTCAATTTTTCTGGTAGTTCAAACAAAGAATTTAGTATTTCTGCCTAAATCAAGAAGTAATCTTGCTATAACAGGTTGGTAAGATGTTTGAGCCTTGCAGTTTGCTTTCTGGTCATGCATTGCTTATTTTTAGAGTTGGTTTAAGCTGATTAGGAAATGAAGGTCTGAACTTGCAAAAGACATCAGTATTTCTTGAAAACTTGCCTTGGGCCTAAGGCTTTTACGGTTTTAATGATGCCACTGTCAATTCTCTGGAAGTCACATTCCACCATATGGTGCATCAAGCGAATCAGCCCTAATTGCTAGTTAGATCTGCAAAGTTGGAGCAAGCTCTTAAATGCACAGAAGTCCTGTGTGTCCTTAGCAGAAAGAATGAGAGAAGAATTTTCCTACCAAAAAATACCATTTTAGTGTTCACAACAGAGCAATTTTTACAAGATATGAATGTTTTTAAAAAGGTACTTTCAGGGAAAAAAAGAATTGAAAAAGCACATCAGGTATCTGTTATGAAGTGTTACAGAAAACAAGATGTGCCATCAAAAAAACTGTGAGCTGAGCACCTAGTTTTGGATTTCAAAGCCAGTTTAACCATTTTGATTGCATTTTTGTTAAAGCCGAATGTAAAATTTTTGAAACTGCAGGTGGGTGGGTTCGGCTGAGGGAACATGACAGTCTTCATAAAATCCCCAAAAGGGTTGACTTGGATTTTGTAGACACAAAGTAGTAAAATTCATAAAGACTGCTTGTTTCACTCTTTAAAATTAATTTCTGCCACAAAGCACTTAGAGATTGCCTGTGTGACGCTGCTCGAGTGCTCTCTGATTGTGTACCAGGAAGGAAGGTAGCAGGAGCTCGGTACAGGGCTAGCTCTGCTGTCTGCATTGTCACATTCAGAAGACAGCTGACAAATTTGCCTTCTCTGCACTTCAAGTTTTGGTGTAAAGTTTAACATTGCTATTTCTTTCTAAGCAGGTGTGAAAGTAAAGAGCTTGATGTTGAAATAAGGAACCTGATAGAGAAGAGTAATGCTTACCAGACATGTGAGGATCCCAGTCCTATTGCCCAAGAGAGTCCGAACTCTCAGAGAACTTCGTGTTCCCTTAAGGTAAACGCAGTCTGCTTTTGCAGTGTTTATCTGCCAGGAAAGAACCTTCAGGGCGTGTTCCCTGGATGCCTTGATTATGCATGAAACTTTTTAATTTCTGAAATGATGCAATGAACTTGCTACAGTCTTTTTTTTCTGATACAGCTACTTTCTGGTATGAGGAAGACTGAGTGGGAAGGTATGTTTTATAGTGTTTTAAAAGGTCAACTAAACCCACTGATTATCCAGAGTGCCACCCTCTGTAGCCAGCTGTGCTTTTTGGGTAACACAGATCCACAAAACTCTATACCCCAAGAGCACTGTCATTTCTTTAGGTTGTTGGTAGTTCTGTTTTAACTGAGGATGAGCAGAGGTGTGGGGGACAAAGATCCTTGTGAGTGTCAGAAAGACTTTTAGATAAATAGGAAGAAAAAAAGAAAAATGATGATTCAAACTCACACTTCTCTGGTATTACAAACAGAAAGTTGTAAGCCACCTGCCAAGGCGATCATCTTTGCTGTCAGTGAAGCAGTGGTTAACAAACATGACAGAAACTTGTTCTAGGTTTCCCTCTCGGTTTCTCCTTTCCCCCCCTGAAATAGCAGGCTGCTTTTTATCATGCAGTAGGAAGAAAAAAGGAAATTCCTGTTTTCTGCAAACTGGGAAAGGGAGGAGTGAGAGGTGCAGAGGAGAGGGGTGATTAAGCCATGAATGCCATCCACCTGCAAGGAATGACACACTGAATGACACACTTACCTGTCTGTGCGACTCCATTAGAGGGCAGGGGGAAGGAAACCACTGAAGGCTGCGCCCTGAGGTGTGATGCAGGAAATTGATGAGGAGGTAAAGGAGAGATGACTCTCTTCTATGAAATCTGAAATTACACAGAGCTCCTTTCACATGTAAACCGCCATCTCCAAAATGACTCATGACCTTGGGGCATGAAGCTGAGCCTAAGGAGGTGCCCCAGGGTCAGACTAGTGGGATTAGAAACAGAGAAAGAAGCCACAGGGAGGAATGGGGATTCCCGGCCTCAGGGGAGGAATAAGCACAGTGAAACAGAAGTCAGTGCAGAATCAAGTAGCATTGAGCTATGAAATTACAAGGCAGAACAGCAAGCCACAAATGGTCTGTGGAAACACCTGGTCCCCCATGTTAGCCTCCCTC